TGCAAGATTCAGGAGTGAAGCACCTGTCTGCTGAAGTAAAGAGTCCAAGATGTACACTGGAAACTCTGAGGTAAGATCCAGTTATAATTTGTTTCAAATGACTGGAAATACCTCTCTAGTCCAAAATGCAGACATTAGAGAGGTCCATACAGTTTAAATAGCCTCTCTAATGGTGTTCACAGAAGTTTCTCAGCAGAATTTTAACTGTCACACATGGAAAACCTTCTAGCTTGTTCTTCTGATTCAGCCTCATATATTGCACAGTACAGCGATAGAAATAAAATGATCTATTTTTTGATATAATCTAATTAAACAATGCAGGCTTTTTGTTTTTTGTTGTTGTTCGTACAGACATTCGTCCGTCCCATTCTCCTGGACACAATATCTTAGTAACGTCTTGACAGAAATTCTTCAAATTTGGCACACACATTCACTCAGACTCAAGAATGAACTGATTACATTTTGGTGGTCAAAAATCAAAGGTTGTGGTGATCTCACAAAACACGGTTTTGGCCTTGTGAAAGCGATATCTCAGTAACGCCTAGAAGGAATTTCTTTAAATTTAGTACAAACATTCACTTGGACTCAAGGACGAACTGATTATATTTTGGTGGTCAAAGGTCAAGGTCAGTGTGACAACATAAAACACTTTTAGTCATTACTGAAGACTTCACACAGCAATTATGACAAAATTTCACACAAATGGTTCATATTTTATATGATTCTTGATAAACAGGGTTATAGACTGAAATTTTCTGCAAATTCTGAGTGGCATATACACTTGAGGTGGTAATGCTAGTTAGAAGCTGCTTTAATCATTATCTGTTAAATCTCCAACTTGTTTGGAATATAGCAGGAACTAATGTGAAGAAATTTCAAAAGCTTCCCACCAGACATAGAAGCAATGTTTTGTGTTCATTAAACAAATTTAAGTCTTATTTCTGACCCAAAGGTGAGTTTCAGTTCTATACTATTGTCCTCTGAGCTGTTGCACAAACTAAGATCCCTATTATTTGTTATTGTCTTTGAGTCCAGACTCAACGTCAAAGGTGATTGCTATTGAACCTAAATGTTATCTGTCTTTTTGTTCCAAATTTCCTCTTCAGGCTGAGAGGCTGTAACCTCTCAGAGAGAAGCTGTGAAGCTCTGTCCTCAGTTCTCAGCTCCCAGTCCTCTAGTCTGAGAAAGTTGGACCTGAGTAACAATGACCTACAGGATTCAGGAGTTAAGCAGCTGTCTGCTGGACTGGGAAGTCCACACTGTGAACTGAAAAGTCTCAGGTCAGGTTTCACCAACCTGTTTCACTTATGAACAATTTAAAAACTTAAAAAAGACAAGAATAACCAATAAGACCTCATAGAATTGACAGAGGGTTCCTTTGTGTTGTTTTGTGTGTCTGCAGGCTGACAGACTGTCTGATCAAAGAGGAAGGCTGTGCTTCTCTGGCCTCAGCTTTGAGCTCCAACTTTTCCCATCTGAGAGAGCTGGACCTGAGCTACAATCATCCAGGAGACACAGGAGTGAAGTTGTTGTCTGCTGGACTGGAGGACCCAAACTGGAGACTAGACACTCTCAGGTATGGAGAGGCCTGCTCCAGCCACAGATAGGAAATTTGTGTTGTGTTCGGGAGGACAATAGATTGTCACAATAAGTGCTAGAGTATCAATTGAAGGAGAAATGACCGAGGGCTACCTTGGAGCAAAGGAAATTATTTGAAAAAATAGTAGCTAGCGTTACTACTATTTTTTCAAATAATTTACTTCACTTGTTTGGCCTTGGAGAGTGAATAAAACTAATCCGCGGGCGGGTCTCAGTTAGGAATATAGAATGTAGATTGCATTCAGTAATCGTATCATGGACAAAAAAGCTCTTGTTGAGGGATCATACATTGAAAAGCAACATTTTAAGCTTAGAATCTTGTAGATGATGCGGCTACCTGTTACTTATCCTGACAGGGATATAAAAAAATGTTGTGAGATGGTCCAAGTCTGGTAGACAATGTACCATGGTCTGATTTGGAAGCATTATACCAGGGGCAAGGACCAGAGGGACATCAATCTGAGATAGACTGGACAGCACTTGATCGATGGAGGGGCTTATTCTCATGGTCCTATGTCAGTTGGACATAGGACCATGAGGATGATAAATGCTGTATGCAAGGCTGGCAGAAAGCACCCGCATCCCAGCTTTGTTCAAATGGAGACCACCTGCAGCCAAAATATGTTGACATTCCCAGAAGAGATTAAAGTTGTAGATGTAGATAAAATGCAAGAGCCAGGTGTCGAGGCTGAACAGTCTCCTGAAATGCCCTATTCCGCGTGCTGGGCCAGAAAGTAAACTCTGCAATGGGACTGTTTGAGGACATTAAAAAGATCGTCAAAGTCTTGTTTTAACAGTTCAGACTGCAGCATTATAATGTAATTTGTACTGATAAGGTATGATCCTTTCAGTCTCCGATCCTGTCAACCCCAACCCTAACCCATCCTCCTTGATCTATGTATGTAGGTAATATTAAGCATAAATTGTTTATAAAATTGTTACAATCGTGGTAAGAAGTAAGTCAACCTCTGAACCTCTTACCTTTGAAAGTGAAGGCTTTGTATTTTTTCAAAGGTAAAAACATTTGTATCATTAGCTATTCGATTGAGTTGAAACCCAATACTGCAGATTTAAAAATGTACTCCTCGGGCATTGTTTTGTCGATGGTGTTTCAGTCTGCCATTCTCTTTTCATCACCGGCACGCAATGAATCTTGGGATACAGTTCGACTCATACCTGTTGCCCAGGAAAACAGGGACGCATTTCTCAGCCGCATATGATGGAGCCTTCAAAATGGGGCAGCCTTGTCTGAGTGGGAGAGCAATGTCCATGTCTGCATGCTGAAAGAGAATGTGCCGGTCTGACCTCTCTTGTCCTTTCAGGGTGGAGCCTGGTGGAGTCCGAAAGCTGAGAAAAAGTCTGAGGAAGTGTAAGTGTGTTTTTAATTTTATTCATGAAAACAAAGCAGCACATTCAACCAGCTTCACATCTGTGAAGTCACAACTGTCACATCACTGATGTCATGAGTCATCATCAAACTATCAATAACTGATCAGCTGTGTCTTGTTCTCTCCATCAGATTCCTGTGAACTCACACTGGACACCAACACAGTGAACAAATACCTCAAACTGTCTGACAACAACAGGAAGGTGACACATTTGAGAAAGGATCAGTCATATCCTGATCATCCAGACAGATTTGACCGGCCTCAGATTCTGTGCGGAACTGGTCTGACTGGTCGCTGTTACTGGGAGGTCGAATGTAGAAAAGGGGTTAAGATATGAGTGAGTTATAGAGGAATCAGAAGGAAAGGAAACAAAAAAGACTGTGAGTTTGGAGGGAATGATCAGTCCTGGAGTCTGTACTGCTCTGATGTTGCTGGTTACTCTGTCTGGCACAATAACATAAGAACAGATATCTCCTCCTCCTCCTCCTCCTCCTCTGTCTCTAACAGAGTATATGTGGACTGTCCTGCTGGCTCTCTGTCCTTCTACAGAGTCTCCTCTGACTCATTGATCCACATCCACACCTTCAACACCACATTCACTGAACCTCTGTATCCTGGGTTTGCAGCATGGCCTGGTTCCTCTGTCTCTCTGTGTTGAGTGTAGCAAAGAGAGTGTCCTGTTAGAGAAACTTTGTTAATGTTGAACAGATAGTTCAGTCTGTACATGTCTGTCGCTTTCACTCACATTTTCCTCTTCCAGTCCTTTAAAGATTGAAGTTTCATAGTTTCCTTTTATATCTTACAGGATAAAAATGTTGTTTACTTGTCATTAAGTCTTTTCAGGCACTCACTAATAAAAACACTACAGTGAATATCAAGATGATGTCTTTCTCTGAATATCAATTCATTTTAATTCACTACTACAACCAGGGGTTAAAGTGGGATTTTGCAGGTGGAACAATCCCCAAATTTGTGGAGGGTGGGTGTTAATGCCAGTCCAACTCTGTTTAGCACGAATAGTAGCCCGGCTGTTTTTGCAAGTGCATATAGATATATATACATATATATATATGTTTGATATGATTCATTTTCTGTAATAACTTACTTACTCGAGCACAAATCTATTTCAAAGAAATCTTTGTATCTTTGTATCTTGTAATTTTTGTTTATATTGCTGCCCTGAATCGAGCATGTTGGAAGTTTAGAAAAGGGCTCTACAATATGAAATATTTTTTTTATCATGATCCAATATATTTCAATAAAAGAATATGAGAAAAAAGTCTGTGTACCATACCAATGTGTACCATATAAAATCACAATTTATTTAGTAAACCAATAGCAGCAGGGACAAAAGAGTTCTTTAATCTATTGGTTCTGCATCTTAGTAGTTTGTACCTGCGACCAGACGAAAGAAGTATGAACTCCCTGAACAAATGATGGCTCGAATTTTCTGGGCCTTGTTCAGAGCCCTGACCTTATATAGGTATATAGGTAGGGAAGGGTCATTAAGGGGTCGTCCCTGCAATCTAAGTGCAGACTTTCAAAATACCTTGTAATCTGTTCCTGTTCTTTAGTGAAAGTGAGCCACACCAACTAATAAAAGAAAACGTAAGAACCGATTCAGGGAACAAGAATAAAACATTTTCATGAAAGTATTGTCCACATTAAAACCACAAAGTTTGCGAAGGAAGTGTAAACGCTGATTATACACCGCATCCACGTGAAGCTCAAAGGTCAGTGTGTCATTGAGGACTGTGCAGAGATATTTGGACTGAAATATGTGTGAATATAATGAGAGATGCTCATGTGTGTGAGTAAATTATGAACTGTTCTGAGAACTGCATTAATAGTTGTAAGAATGATGTTTCTAATGTGTGACTTGTATCAAAGCCATTGAGAAAAACTGTAAAGAATGAAAGCAAAGGATGGACTCAAAAGACCATGACTGAAATGACTGAAAGACAGGAAGGACTAAAATAAAAGACAGGAATGACAAAACTGCTCAAGACAGAAGACAAAACTCTTTATTAAAAAACATCTAATTTACATAGAACTTCAGCTGCTTATGGTTTCAAGACAACATTTCAAAAAAGCAAATGATGGACATGACATATGTATTTAAAATATCCCCAGTAAGTGTTGTTAACAGCCTGGGGATTTACTATAAAACATGAAAAACAGGAAACCACTTAGACACTTTAAAAGAGTAAAAAATGCAAAACATTTTCATCATTTATTTAAAAAAACAACAACTTAATAACAAACATCTATTTTACATTAAAATTCAGCTGCTTATGGTTTCAAAACTCAAACTCTTGATGGTAGTTGGGAGCTTTCTAAATCATTCAACCACAGTTTTAGAAGTTTCCCACTTTGCGTGTTGGACTTCAGACTTCACTGAGGCATCTGAGGATGGAACCAGTGACTGTAAAACACCTGAAGAGTCTTCTAACACCAAGACATATTTAGTCAGAGACACTGGAGACATTTCTAAAAGCTTTTCAGTCTTTCAGTGGGGTGTTGGTCTTTTGGAATTGCTTAAATACACAACCTCTAAATGTCTCACAACTTTGTCAGAGATTTTGATTTCACTGTAGGTGTTGGACTTCAACCTTCATTGAGTTCACTGAGGATTGAAACCCATCACCTCAAAACTTTTGACAAGTCTTTCAACAGCACGAGAGACTGGGACAGAAACAAAACAAGTTCTTCTCCTGGAGAATTTCTGTCTTCCCTTTGGCCATTGGCTTTAAAATTAAATATCAATTCTTATTCACCTGTTTAGCATTCAATTGTCCGAAGATTCAGAGAATGTAAAAAACTGATATTCACAGCAAAGCTTTTATTGTGAAAAGAAAGGAAAGTTATTCGTAGCTTCCATCTTTAAAGGACAAAAAGAGGAAGAAGTTTAAATAGAATCATTTCGGAGACTCTAAACACAGGGACACTGAGGAACCAGAACAAGAGTGGACTGAGAACCCAAACCCAGGATACAGAGGTTCAGTGAATGTGGTGTTGAAGGTGTGGAGGTGGATCAGTGAGTCAGAGGAGACTCTGTAGAAGGACAGAGTGCCAGCAGGACAGTCCACATACACTGCTACTCTGTGAGAGCCAGAGGAGGAGGAGGAGGAGAAGGAGGGAATGGTTCTTCCTCTCTTATCGTACCAGACATAGGAACCACCATCAGAGCAGAACAGACTCCAGGACTGATCGTTCCTTCCAAACCTGCAGTCGTCTGTGTTTCCTCTCCTTCTAATTCCTTTGTAACTCACTGATATGTAAACCCCTCCTCTACATTCGACCTCCCAGTAACAGCGACCAGTCAGACCAGTTCTACACAGGAGCTGAGGAGACTGGTCAAATCTGTCTGGATGTTTAGGATATGACTGATCCTCCTCCACATGTGTCATCGTCCTGTTGTTGTCAGACAGTTTGATCTTTGTGTTCACTGTGTTGGTGTCAAGTGTGAGTTCACATGAATCTGATGGAGAGAACAAGACACATCTGATGATCAGTTATTGGCAGTTTGATGATGACTCATGACATAAGTGAGTTTGAAGATGGTTGAATGTGCTGCTTTGTTTTCATGAATAAAATTAAAAACACACTTACACTTCCTCAGACCTGGTGTCAACCATTGGACTCCACCAGGCTCCACCCTGAAAAGAGGAGGGGGGTCAGAGCAGCACGTTATCTTTCAGCATGCAGATAATGGACTTACACGGCTCTGACACACAGACTTTTTATTATTACATTTACTCATTTGGCAGTCGCTTTGGATAAAAGCAACTTAGCTAGAAGTGAGGGACATCACTAAAGCTTAATATCCTGTTCAAATGTCGGCTTGTATATGTGGACGTTCACTCAAGAGCATCTGGAGTCCCAGCTGCAGCTGAAATGTTTCCCAGCTGCTTTGTTCAGATAGAGCCTGAAATAATGACAACAGCTGATTTCACGACTGACAGATCTCTTCCTAACTATGACACTGCGAGTCATAATGCAACACTGAAGTCATCATTAGGAGAAAACTCCTCTTTTGTTGTTGCTGAAGTAAAAGCGCTTCTGTAGCGATCTATCATCAGCTGTGGCAGAGAAAATGTTTCAGCTCTTCCCCCTCTATCAGACAGTGTCTGTGGTTGCAGCACACCTCCCCATACCTGAGAGTCTCCAGTCTCCAGTGTGGATCCTCCAGTGCAGCAGACAACAGCTTCACTCCTGAATCTCCTGGATGATTGTAGCTCAGGTCAAGCTCTCTCAGATGGGAGGGGTTGGACCTCAGAGCTGAGGCCAGGGAAGCACAGCCTTCCTCTGTGATCAGACAGTCTGACAGCCTGCAGACACACAAATCAACACACATACACTCTGAGGATGATGATGCGGGATGATTTGCACCAGAATGATTTGCACCGCTGCAAACCACCCTGCCTGCATCTCCAGCCTCAAGGAGGCACAGCATTCTCAACCAGACCCAGGGCCCACTAACTATTTATTTGTCCTAGATTCTGTCAGATCTCCTTAGTCACATCTCGCATTGATTACTGTAATTCTATCACCTCTGGTCTTCCCCGTAAACACCTCCATAAACTCCAACTGGTTTAGAAAGTAGCAGCTTGTATCATTACCAAACCCCCCTCAATAGACAGCAAATTGCACTGGCTTCCTGTTAAACACCATATTGACTTCAAGATTCTGCTCCTCACTTTTAAGTCACTTCACAACCTAGCACCTCCATATCTCTCTGATCTACTCCAAACCTGCACACCTGCCCATACTCTTAGATTTTCCTCCTCCATTAATCTCACTGTACCTCCTGCCCGTCTTACAACCATGGGGTTTAGAACCTTCTATTGAATATTGATTCTCTTCCTATTTTCAAGTCCCACCTCAAAACACACCTCTTCAAACTTGCCTACTCTCTTTAACTCCGGCACCAGCGCCTGATCATATTTATTTTATAGAATTACATTTATTCTGGTTAATTTTGTATTTTATGCCTTGTACTAGTTTTTTATCTTTTACTGTGTTGTAAGGTGTCCTTGAGTACCTTGAAATCCGCCTATAAATAAAATGTATTATTATTATTAGGTTTCAAATTTTGCAGTCGGGGCACTTGTCTAAAGTCACTGCCACCCTGGTTTCCACCGCACCCTCACTTTCCTGAAACAACGCTTCTGGTGGTCGTCCATGTCCAGAGACATCCAAACCTTTGTGTCAGCCTGCTCCGTTTGTGCCCAAAGCAAGGCATCACCTGTCACCCCAGGTCACATATTGCAGTAGATTTTGTCACTGGCCTGCCTCCATCTAAAGGTAAATCCACCATCCTGACAATAGTTGATTGTCATTTTTCAAAGCTGTACATTTTGTCCCTCTCTCGAATTTACCCTCAGTTTCAGAGACTGCAGATCTGCTGGTCCACCACTTTTTTCGGCTGCATGGAATTCCCCAGGACATTGTTTCTGACTGTGGTCCCTAATTCTCTTCCCAAGTTTGCAAGGCTTTCTGTCGGACACTGGGGGCCACCACCAGCCTTACCTTGGGTTACCATCCACAAACCAATGGGCAGATGGGGGGCGGGCCAATCAAGACCATCCTTCCACCTGGAGTCCATAGTTGGCCTGGGTGGAATACACCCACAACTCGCTCATCCAGTCAGCCACAGGTATGTCCCTATTTATGGCTTTGCTTGGCTATCAACCACCCCTTTTCCCCATCCAGGAAGGAGATGTGGCTGTCACCCTTTGTTCTGGCCAACCTACGTCTGTGCCACCAAATTTGGAGGGACGTTTGATCTGCCCTTCTCTGTTCCGCCTCAAGAAACTAAGCCTAGCTGACCACCACCGTGTCCCCACAACTGAGTATAAACTCAGTCAGAATTTATGGCTCTCTTCCCATGACTTGCCTCTCCAGGTAGAATCCCATAAATTGTCACCCCACTATATTGGACCCTTTGAAATAGCCAATTACCCTTGTTAATCTCCTTTTTGTTTCCTTGTTATTCCTTGTGTTTCCTCCTCCCCTTCTGTCTGTGTATGTATGTGGACATGGCTTCTCACTCCCGGCTTCTGGCTTCAATCTACATCTACTCATCAAGCTCCAGTTCAAGAACCCTGGCGACTCATTTATTGAGTGTTTGAGTCTACTATTTGGTAGCATACTCTCGGTCACCCTTACTTCTAGAGTAAACTTTCTAGTGTTGATGTGTTATTCTCCTCAAGCTTTTCTCCTTACCTGTGTCTCCTTGTGCCCAGAACCCCAGTGCCTGCCTCCAGCCAGCCCACATTGCCAACACCAACACTTGTGCAAATCACCCTGCCTGCATCTCCAGCCCACTCCAACCACCAGTTTCCCCTTTGCTTACCCATTTGACATTGAACACCATCTCCACCTTGTCTGTGTCTGCTTTCAGTTCCAACTCTATGTGAGCAAAGCTATAACACAAAAGGCTATACGTCCTTTGAGCAGTGCTACTTCTTCAGGGCAGCCTGGAGGCTACAGTGACTCAGTATTGGAAAGTGAGGATCTGGTTAGCATGTTAACTTCAGTAGAACAAAAGAAGTGATAGAGATTAAGCAAGAGGTTTGCTCTCCACCACTGGAGACAGCTCCTGGTGAGTAAAGGAATCAAGTATGATGCTGAACACTCAATGTTTCTTCTAGACGTAAGTAAATAGCTTTTAACAATAACGTTGGCTGTGTCGCAATACCAAAACAAATACCTCCTTTAACACTGACATGTAACCATCTAAACCACGTTATAACGAAGCATAAATTACTTTCTATATCTGACCAAGAGTTCACACATGTGCTCTACAGAATGTGAACTGGGAAAAAAATTTTAAGATTCATTGAACTCATTAGAGAAGCTGTTTAAACTGCTCTGATGTCAGCATTGTTGGACTTGAGAAATATCTCCAGTCATTTAAAACAAACACGAACTTGATCTCACCTGAGAGTTTCCAGTGAACAGTGTGGACTCTCCAGCCCAGCTGACAACAGCTTCACTCCTGAATCCTGCAGGTTGTTGTTACTCAGGTCAAGGACTCTCAGACTAGAGGACTGGGTGCTGAGAACTGAGGCCAGAGCATCACAGCTTCTCTCTGAGAGGTTACAGCCATTCAGTCTGAAGAGATGATAATAAGGAATTAAAGAAGAAAGGAATTTATTTCCTCTCCTGGTGAAAAGATAGAAGTGTCTTTATATAATGATGAATAAATCCAACTATCTATACACTTACAGAGCTTTGTTAGAGGCTTTCACCACTGGCAACAGCCTCAGAAGAGCCTCCTCTGAAGCGGAGTATTTCTTCAGGTCAAACACGTCCAGATCTTCTTCTGGTGACAGTAAGATGAAGACCAGAGCTGACCATTGAGCAGGAGACAGTTTATCTGTGGAGAGACTTCCTGAACTCAACAATTGTTGGATCTCCTTCTCTAGAGAACGATCATTCAGTTCATTCAGACAGTGGAACAGGTTGATGCTTTTCTCTGCAGAGGGAGTCTCTTCGATCTTCTTCTTGATGTACTGGACTACTTCCTGATTGGTCTGTGAGTCACTTCCTCTCTCCATCAGCAGGCCTCGTAGGAGAGTCTGATTGGTTTTCAGTGAAAGACCCAGGAGGAAGCGGAGGAACAAATCCAGTTGTCCACTTGGACTCTGTAAGGCCTCGTCCACAGCCCTCTGGTAGAAGTTTGTCCCTGTAGATTCAAATTTTCTTCTCTTGGACAACTTGGATGTTGTTAGTTCTTCTGACAGCAGATTGACTCCAGAGTTGATGAAGGTCAGATGGACATGAAGAGCAGCCAGAAACTCCTGAACACTCAGATGGACGAAGCAGAACACCTTGTCCTGGTACAGGCCTCTCTCCTCTATAAAGATCTGTGTGAACACTCCTGAGTACACTGAGGCTGCTCTGATATTGATGCCACACTCTGTCAGGTCTGATTCATAGAAGATCAGGTTTCCTTTCTGCAGCTGCTCAAAAGCCAGTTTTCCCAGAGACTCAATCATCTTCCTGGTCTCTGGTCTAAAGTGTGGATCTGTCTCACATCCTCCATCATACTTGATGTTCTTCAGTTTGGACTGAAGTACCAGGAAGTGGATGTACAGCTCAGTGAGGGTCTTGGGCAGCTCTCCTCCCTCTCTGGTTTTCAACACCTCCTCCAGAACTGTAGCAGTGATCCAGCAGAAGACTGGGATGTGGCACATGATGTGGAGGCTTCGTGATGTCTTGATGTGGGAGATGATCCTGCTGGCCTGATCCTCATCTCTGAACCGCTTCCTGAAGTACACCTCCTTCAGTGGGTCAGTGAACCCTCTGACCTCTGTCACCATGCCAACACACTCAGGAGGAATCTGATTGGCTGCTGCAGGTCGTGTGGTTATCCAGAGGCGAGCAGAGGGAAGCAGTTTCCCCCTGATGAGGTTTGTCAGCAGCACGTCCACTGAGGTGGACTCTGTAACATCAGTCAGGATCTCAGTGTTGTGGAAGTCCAGAGGAAGTCTACACTCATCCAGACCGTCAAAGATGAACACAATCTGGAACTGATCAAACCTGCAGATTCCTGCTTCTTTGGTTTCAGTAAAGAAGTGATGAACAAGTTCCACCAAGCTGAACTTTCTCTCTTTCAGTATATTCAGCTCTCTGAAGGTGAATGGAAATGTGAACTGTATGTCCTGGTTGGCTTTGTCTTCAGCCCAGTCCAGAGTGAACTTCTGTGTAAAAACAGTTTTCCCAATGCCAGCCACTCCCTTTGTCATCACTGTTCTGACTGGTTCATCTCTTCCAGGTGAGACTTTAAAGATGTCTTCTTGTCTGATGGTTGTTTCTGGTCTGACTGGTTTCCTGGATGCTGTTTCAATCTGTCTGACCTCATGTTCATCATTGACCTCTCCAGTCCCTCCCTCTGTGATGTAGAGCTCTGTGTAGATCTGATTCAGAAGGTTTGGGTTTCCTGCTTTAGCGATCCCCTCAAACACAAGCTGGAACTTCTTCTTCAGAGTAGATTTGAGTTTACGTTGACTAAATGCAGCAGGTGTTCCTGAATGAATACATCCTGTAAGAAGCAACATCAATAAGTGATGTATAGAGAAAATCTAACATTTTATTCCCCTTGAAGAATATGTTCATAAACACAGTTTCCCGCATTGACTTAAATGTCCCATTTATCCATGATGTTAATCTGGCAACAGACAACTTTTTTGTATCAATTTATCATCATGAAGTAAAGTTGATAAGGCAATATGAGTTAAGTAAGACCAGTCAAAGGCTGGTAAAAATATTTTTATATATTTGTATATATATTTTATATAAGATTTCTTAAAGATTTTTTTCTGGTCCACGGATTTGGTGGCCAACAAGGTTTTGCTGTGGGCATTAGTCAGATGTTTGTTTCTGGCTGCTAGTGGTAGTTTCTCCAACATGGCTACCACTAGCAGCCAGAAACAAACATCTGTGATTTATTATCTGTTTGATAATGTACTTTATATCTTTAGCGAAATCCTCTTACTGCTCTGCAGACAGTCAGCCAGCTCCTCCTGCTTCATTCTCCTCAGAAAGTTCACTGTAATCTTCAGAAATGCCTCTCTGCTGCTCCTCCTCTGCTCTTCATCCTCACCATCCAGCACCTCCTCATCCTCCCCCTGACACTCTAAGCCTTGTGGGAAATCTGGACTCAGAACCTTCTGGATCTTCTTCAGCTCGTTCTTCACAAAAGTGACCATGTTCTCCTCCAGCATCTGGAACAGAACACTATATGAATGACACCATGAAACTAAAACCTGGACCCAAACATCAGATCCATGTTGGAACAGACTGATAATCCACTGGCCTAAAAGTGCAGCATGGAGGTTATTGTGAACACAACAGATGGAACAGTAGTTGTACATATACAGACCATAAATATGGAGTCCAGCTGTGTTTGATGCTGCTGGGCAGACTGACCACTGGGAACCTCTGAGCTCTCCTGGTCCACTCTGTGGAGGAATCATGAAGAATGAGCTCACATTATGTCTGTCCACACAGAGACAGACACAAGCTAAAGGTCCATGAAGTCACGTTTGGATGTGAACAGTGAATCAGACGACTCCCTGTAGTGGTAAAGGTTTACTAGTCCTGCTGATCCCACTGAGAATCAACAGCTCAGTCTGCAGCTCTTTGTTGCTTTCAGCTCAGTGTTTCACCAACCCTCCATATAGCTCTCCCTCCCTCACTGAATACTGCTGAAGTGCCCTGGAGCAAGGCACCTACAACCTGCTGCTCCAGTGGAGCTGCTCAGTGTCTGCTTGAATCAGACTGGTTGTACTGGGCAGCTCAGTATGAACAATGACAATGGACCAGTAAAGTGTCACTGAGTAAATGACATTAAAACATTTTAAGGGATCAGTTTACTCCATCAGAGGTGTTTGTCAGATGGTCAAACAGCATCTGAAACACACACCTCCCCCTGTGATTGGTCAGCTGTGTGTACGTGACAAATTGGGTGGGGTCTGAACTTCTCTTTCAGCTCTTATTTTCATTCTTGATCTTCTCATTCATTTCTGCCACTTTTCATGTGAACAACTGAGGTCAACTCTATGAATGTCTTCCAGGAGAGACTGACTGAACATGGGAGAAGTTATCTCCATATTTGGAACCACATCATGTCTCCCCCCTCTCTATGACGGCCAGAGTTTTACCTCCACCTTCCAGTGTGGACACAACAGATAGAAACACTTTGATATTAGTCCTTGTTGACTTTTTCTTTTCTACAATAACCTGAGTCTTACTGTCAGTTACAGCTTACATCTGATCAGCTGATGGACGTTGTCTTTTAAAACCAATGAGCTTGCCCTTCGACCGGTCGCTCTTTAAAGACAGACAGCTTGGTTCAGGAGAGTCTGGTCTCTGCTGCTGGATCCTGAAACAAAAACAGAACTGATAAATGTGCATGTTGGATAAAATCTGATGAAAAATATGTTCAATCTTTGAATAAACACATGAACTAATTTTTAGTGTGAAATGTCTTTCTGACAGTTTTAAATTCTGACCTTCCATCAACAGATTGGCTGAATTTAAGAGGAGGAGACATTGATTGGTTGCTCTTCATGGACACACAGCTGGGTCCTGGTCCAGGTCCAGCAGAGTCTGGTGTGTGCTGCTGCTCTGGACTTGAACACAACACACAACACACACAGAGCTTTGATTGCGAATAATGATGAAGCAGGGATCTGAGTGCTGAGCTCTGACATGGAGAAGATTCATGGACAGTTAAAGATCCTCATCTCACCTCTGAGCTCTGGTCTGGCTCTCATGTTTCCCACACTCAGTGGTTTTAGAGGGAGGGGCTCCCTCCTCTCTGTCCTCACACTGATCCATGCTGCTGAGTTCACATCCACATCAGCTCACACACACTTTCTACCTTCATGTGGAAAGAAACACACATCATTCATCTGCACATCAGCTGAAATTTACATAATTTCTCCTGTAAAAATACCAGCTGCTCCTCCACAGACTGGCTCTTTCTCTCTGTTTTATATCATAGTGTTTCAGTTGAATGCAGACAGACAGCAGTGATGAAGAGGAAAGCTGCCATCAGCTGCAGTACTTCTCCTATCAGTCCACTAGATGGCATCATGGAGCTGTGGTAAAGTGAAGAGCAGCCCGGCAAACACACGCTGCGTGGATGAACATTAACATCCACTGACACGCAGAAGGACTGAGATGCACTGAATCCATTTCACCTTAGATTAATGTCTTACACCTCAATTAATTACTAGGGTAATATAACCTGACAATGCAAAAATGTGAAATTTATCTGCAGGAAAACAGTCAATTCAACAAAGCAGGACAATCAGAATAATATACTAAGTAGATCTGTGGTTATAGATCCAAAAATGTCATATCTTTTAAATGTATTTATTTTTGTTCATATACATGAAATAATTCCTATGTTAATGTAAACCATCTGTATAAAAGAGGAGTTTGTTTTGTGTTTTTAGTTCGTTACTTTCTGAATATCATTTACAGCATTAAAAACTAAACGTCAACACAGGTCAAATATATTCAATGTCAGTCCTGCCCCTTAATCTCGACTGTTCAGTTACAGATATTCACATTCAGTTGCAATAGCACCACAATGCTACAGTAATACCACGACAACACCACAATCACAATAACACTATAGTAACACCACAATAACACCTCAATAACACTACAGTGACACCACAATAACACTTCACCAACACTACAGTGACACAATAACACCATAATAACATTACAGTAACAACTCAATAATTTGAGCATCAGATTTCTTCTGTTTTTTCTATAACTCAGGTAATGACAGGTGTTAACAAGTAAATCATAAAAATTGCTAACATTACCTTCAGAGGAGAAAATAACCTGCGCCACAATGTTGGTTCAAAGTGAAACTTAACTTCACTAAACTAACGCCAAGAGATCCCTGTGCGTATGTGTGGGTGGAGCAGGGTGAATAACTGCCAAGAATCAAAGGTGTAAGATAAAGATAAGAACGGCGGCACGGTGGTGCAGTGGTTAGCACTGTCACCTCACAGCAAGGTTTTTTGCCTCTATATGTCAGACCTGTGATAGCTTGTCCGCAATGTACCCCAAGGTGTCAGCTGGGATTTACTCCAGCCCCCCTGCGGCCCTCAAAGATTAAGAAATATAGCTAAAAGATGGCAAATTTATCACACAGAAATAAAAGGTTAAGAACCCCTCCACCCCACCACAGCCC